TCTTGTCCCAGAGCTCTTCCTTCCCCTTCATCGCCTCCTCCAAATTAAACCTTTCCTCCTCTCCATTATACCCCACAGCCTCCAATTCGAACTGCTCTGCCAATATGGTCCACAAATGCTTCCACTTGAACACGTCCCCGTTGCTGCAGTTAAACGCTTCATTCTTCGCAAACGGATCCACAGCCGCCCAGATCTGCTGCTCAGCAATCAGATCGGCGTCGGAAGCATCGCTGAACCCTTCCCAAGCGATCCGACTCCCGGGCCACCGCAGCAGCTTGCCCTCTCGCTTGCAGATGGCAGCGTAGAAGCAAAGCGAACCAACGATGTTCATGAGACTGGTGGGTGAAAACCCGAAGATGACGGAGGGACGATGAACAGAAAAAGTGACTGCGCCGTCGCGGCTGCGAAGGGAGTCGAATAGGACATCCTCTTGTGCGTAGTAGAAATTGGGGGCAGGGAGACGAGGAAGATCCTCGTGAAATGGGGGATCATGCGGCTTGACCTTACCTAAGGATTCGAAGCTGCCGAGGTAGTGCTTGCGACCTGTCTGGAGGCAAACGTGTTGGAGACTGGGGGCGGAGGGGAGAACGGCATCGAGGACATTGCGGAGCATAGCGGTGTTAGCGGCGATGTTCTCGATCTCGGATTCGCGATTTGCCCAAGCACCGTAGAAGATATGGGTGACGTCGGTGAGCGGGGACAGTTTGGCTAGGGCATCGGCGGGGTCGGATATGTCGCACAAGATGTTCTCGACGTTAAGGCCGTCGGAGGGGGAAGGAAGCCACGCAACCCGAGGGCGGCGGGAGACGGCGTACACCTTCCAGGGGCCACCGGGGGTGTCAGGAAGCGGGAGGATCTCGACAAGGCTCATGCCGACGATGCCGGTGGCGCCGATCACGAGGCCTACGCTAGGATGCTTGCCTCCAGCTACGCTGGAGTCATCGTCAAGCTTCTTCTTAACGGCGCCAATCGCACCGGACCACCACCAGCTCATTGTCGTCGGCGATGCGGAGATTGAGATTGAGAGGAAGCGAGAACGGGCTGCGAGGTCGCGTTGGTTAAATGGAGAAAATATTCCGCCTTGACACCATCCACGTCGTCATACGTCTTGTCGCTTAAAGGTCACCTGACTACCTACTTCGTTCTTATCTTCTAAAATGTGCAGGGTATCGCTGTTGCAGGACGGAATTCCCCGCATATACACCCTCACAAAATACTAGAAAAATTTTCATACGTTTTCCGGGCATAGTTGTGGGGACTTCACTAACATACCATATCATGGGCCCACTTTAAAAAATACTGTAGTATAACCCCA